CGTGCTCCTCCTGTCGAGGCTCGAGGAGCTCCGCCGGAGCATGATGACGAGGCCGAGGCTCCCCACGGCGGACATGTGGACCCGCTTCGCCACCCTCAACTCCATGGCTTTCATGCTGTGACGGTACTCAGTAGATATATCGCTGCTGCCTCTTACTCTTAGTTATATCCTCTTTTGGGTCTGTTGATGAGTGCTATCTGCTATGCTGTTCTGGACTTCTCTGCTTTTGGCTTCTATGTACAATAATCTCCAGTGTACGACTTACCTTACGTTAGGACTTGCCGCGATATGTATATATATGTAACGAGATACATATGAGACTAGAACGCATATGAAGTGAATTTCCTGATCTTGATATGATACGTATATCTTGCTTCGGTTTCAGAATGAGGATTTCCTGCAATATATATGCATCTTCTTCTCACCGGATAGCATTTCCTCTGTGATCTTGCGTTGTATTGCTATTTACCCTAAAGAATAGTGACAGAGCTAGATTATCCAAGGGAAGAGTGGATAAATAAAAGATGCAGCAGTTAAAAATATTGTATCACTTAAAATAAACAAAGCCTTAGAGATAAGAGTAAGAATCAAGCTGGCTAGATCGCGCAGATTCCTAAGAGCATCCTTTGCTCAGTTGGTAAGTACTGTATGAACGAAGCTGGTTGTTGTAAAACAGATCGCTGTACTGATGATAGATGGAGTCAACCTACTGATGATGCAGCGAAGGATGCATCACAGATAGGAAGCTTTGGATGGCGCAGAAGAAATAGGATTGAGGCTTCACTCTTTTTGTTTGTTGTGTTGTCTTGTGTTATGGTGTGGATGTTAGCTTAACTGCTTAAGTGATGTTGCTCTTGTTTTAACAGCTATGCTAATGCTGGAGGCCTGAATATTTTTATTTTTTAAGTAAAAAAGTACTCCATAAAATTAGTATGGGAGGAATGTCTGCCTCTTTTTTTTTTTTGAATGTCAAACTCTTGTCCCGCATAAAAGAGACATTGCTGTCATCGTCTAGGTGATAAGGTCGACCCAGGAGAGCACTAAGTCCGACCCACTGAGCAACGTCTACACTAGATCTACTATTCTCCAAAGGGAATATCGTGTTCTTGCCTCTATTTTGATGTTTAATTGTGATTTTACTCTCGTTTTTGTTATCGTTGTGATTTTATCCCTGCTTTGTAACTACTAAGGCTCAGTTTACCCTTATTTTTAACTCTGTTAGTTGTATCTAGAATAAAAAATTAAAAAAACAACAAAACCCTTCGAAGTAAGACAAAAAGACAACAATACCCCTTATCCACTCGTACCCTTCCAATCCCCCATCCTCTACCGTATCCTCTCTATCTCTCTCATTCCCCATACCCAAGACCCCAACAGGAGGAGCACTGGAAGCAGCAGTAGGCCGGCGCCCGGCCCGGCCACTGCCATATCCATCCGCAAGGCGCTGGGCGCAGTCAAGGACCAGGCGACCATCGGCATCGCGTGGGTGATGGGCGCCGTGGCGCCGGACCTCGACATGGCCATTGTGCGCGCCACCTCCCACGACAGACGCCGACTTCGGACCACCGCCACGCTGCAGCAGGAGGTGCTCCGCCTCGCATCCGCCACAGCGCGGCGCGCCTGCGCCGCCTCCATCGCCCACCGCCTCTCCAGACCCGCGACTACGTCGCCGCCGCCAAGTGCCTCGCGCTCCCGCACCACCTCCGCCGCCGCCATCGACCCCGACCCGACCGTGCGAGGACGCCGACGGAGAGGGCCGCCGCGCGTTCCTCCACGAGCCGCTCCGCCCCACCTCACCGCCGCCGCTGCGCGCGTGCTCGCGTTGCTCCTCGACTTCATGACGAGGCGACACGGCGTCGTGGGACCACTCCACCTTCGTCGCGCCTACACCACCTACCTCCTCGACCGTGTCCGCTTCCTCGTCTCTCCTCCTCCTCCCAAGCGCTTCACCGACGACCGCGTCGAGACCACCGCACACACGGCGACGGCGGCGGCGGACGACATGGACATCGAAGGTTTCTCCCTAGGCATGCAAGCGCCACCTGCGGCACACTCTTGGACCGCCTCGCTCGCGTCCGCCCTGCTGGCTCGCCTGGCCCAACCCGCGTCGTGCGCCGCTTCCACCACGCTCGGGGACGGCTTTCGAGTCTCACGAGGACGTCGCGCTTGCCCTCGCGCTCCTCCTCGACCGCTTCTTCGACATGGACTACCCCGAAAAGCGCCAAGGCCTTCGAGACCTACGTCGGCACCGCCAAGCAGATCGATGTGCTCCGCGCCTTCTACGCTGGTGCGACGATGCTGCGTCGTCGGCTGTCTCCAACATCCCGGCGACGTCGGTAGCGTCGACGACAAGCTCCTCGAGACCATGGAGCAGTTCTCGAGGCAACATGGCCGGCGGGACGCCTACCGCCGCCACGATCGGGCGCTATGAAGTCTGCTGTCGGTAAAACAGGGGTAAAATCACAATGTATTTTCGCAGGGGCAAACTTGTCCTTACTGAGCCCATTTGACACCATTACCAATTGTTCACGGAATAGGGGTAAACTTAAGCTTCGTTTTTCAAAAAAACAGGGGTAAAATCACAACGATGACAAAAGCAGGGGTAAAATCACAACTGGACGTCAAAGTAGGGGCAAGAACACAATAGCCCCTTCTCCAAAATATGGAATGCACGAAGCTACACGGCCACCACAGTCTCGACTGAAGCTCAACGCAGTGCCATAGATGCTACGTCAGGCAGCATGTCCAGAGATGTCCTGTATCAACAGGCAGATCAAACTTCTTGGAGGGCAATGGGCAATGGCCCATGGCACTAAGAAAGTTGATACCGACCATTAGCAACTTGATCCTTTTGCAATCAAATCAACAGTTGCAACCACGAACAATTTAGGAACGGAAGGAATAAAATATATAGTATTCTTACGCTGTTGCTACACTACTGTACTGAAAAATCTAATGCTGAGCATCCAACAATCGGAGAGGTAGAATAAACCTGGTCAGTGCAGCCTGCAGCAGTGCAGTTCGACTGTGCCTCATCATGTGAAGCTCCAGATTGCACGACCTCTCGTAAATTGGCAGTAAACACACAACACGAATCGTCTTCAGTTTGACCCGATCCAACGCCGGGGTTCGATTTTCCAACACTATCACCAGGGAGAGTGGGAGACGAATCGCCAAACTGATTGAGACGAGATGGGGCTGACAATCCAACTACAAGATTTGGATCGAGACTTTCCTTCCTTTTTTTTTTAGGAAAAGACTTGCCTTCCTAGTGGTTTCGGCGGCTTGGAGTTGGAGAGCAGCGGGGCTACGTTTCGTGGGCCGAACCGACATGGGTACTATGGGCCGGGCTTGTTAGTTGGTCTACAAGAGTACGTGTGCTTGTTTTGTTCTTGGCCCCTCCCCGCGCTTCTGCAGTTCTGCTTCCGCTGCATGGTAGAGAGGTTCACGGCGGCTGGCGCCTGGCGGCAGGCCGCAGGCCGCAGGCATGCTTCTGTTCATCTGTCGGATGATGCCGACGTCATCGAGGTGGCAAGGCAACGACAACGAGAGCTGCACGGTCTGCACATGCCTCGTCGGCGCGCAGCCTATGAACGCGTTTCCCCTCATGACGAGTAACGAATATACATATTTAAATCAACCACGTAAAGAAAAAGAACATATGCTCCCTCTTTTTCTCTCTCTCGCGCACTCAAAGCATCAAACCATACGACGTTTCCCAACAAATTCAACCACCAATAGATCCATGTACAGACAAAACAAACAGTGCCAACGGTAGCACGAGGTGACTGAGCTCTGACCGACCAGATTGCTCTTGCAACCTCCTTCCTGCATAACTCGATCATTTGCATTGCATCTAGAGGCGTGACACCGAGTCACTTGATTGATTGATTGATTCAGTTTCATTATGTTACCTGCGTCTAGCCATCTTTAACTTCAAAGAAGTAGAACAGACCGTGTAATTTCACTTTTCCTATAGAACAGTCGTCCGAAATCTATGTTTCGGCCAGACGATGCTTTGTCTGTTGAATGGACTTCTCCACGTGCACTGTTGGCTTGGATGGAGATCTCAAGGCTTGTAGCCGTCGCCTGAACAGGGGCTATATTTCAGCAGATCCCGTGTAATTTAGGTTGCTACAACCGCTATGATATACGGAGTATACCTAAACACGTTGACGATCTTGCCTGACAAAATGGTCACGTTCTTTTTTTTAACATGCAAACAAGCACAGTATTTGCGAAGGGGGACCGATTACCAGATATTCAGGTGATGGATAACCACGTACGCGTGGGCTGCGTGGCCTGCAGGCTGCAGCCGGACGCCCCGACCACCACGGCTGACTGCACGCATCGCACGGGCTGGACGTCGATCGGTCGATGGCGATATGGAAGGCTACTGCGTACTCATTGCCGTCGCACGCGTGCGGAAACCCATCTCCGATCTGTCCGCATCATGCTCCAATAACCTGGTCACTCACCGCATACGAGCCTGCCGCACGGCTGCACTTCACCAGAAGCTGTTGTTGGCAGTGATGACACAATCAACACTTCACCAGATTCTAAGACTCCGAAGGGCATGCTGGATTTCTTTAATCCACAAGGCAAAGGTTCGACTAAATCGAGATTTGGAATCATAGCTGTTTGGAATCAATGCTGACAACAATTTCTGAAAGAGTTGAAGGATTGCAAACAATCACAACCAAACTGTGCAAATCCTCTTTCCCTGAAGAGATTACGATGGGACTGCTGGGAATTCATTCAGCCATGGTTAGGGAGCTAACGAACGAACGAACGAACTGCCTGACACACACATTAGCCAGCGAAATTACAACGCCATATGTTCACTTCACATGAACTCAAGCACACTCTCTGTCCACCGCTCTGCCGCACTTCAATTCATAGAGGCTATGAAACACGACGGGATCTTTGTACAGGTTACCGCAAAACGAACGATCGCTTCACTGCTAGCTGCTTCAGCTGGAGACCATCTCACCATCACGCTACTTCCTGCTGATGAACAGGCTGCGCAGCCTGCGGCGGTCCAGCTTCTCGAGCAGCTTCTTCGCGCCGGTCACGTCCTTCTCCGAGAGCTTCTTCAGGTACCCGATGGCGCCGTGGGAGATCATCAGCTTCTTGCACCGCTTGCTCGCCGACAGCGCCAGCAGGCAGGAGATGGCGTACTTCTTGGCCGTGTTCTGGGGGCTCGGGTCCAGCAGCTGCACCAGGTTGGGCACGCTCTTCTCGTCCTTCTTGATGTCCCTCGCGTTCGCGGGGCACCCCATCAGGCTCGCCACCGCCTGCGCCGCGGCCTCGCGCGCGCCGTTCGACTTGGCCTCCAGCAGGCGCACCAGGAGCGGGATGCACCCGTGCTCGCCCACCAGCCGCTTCATGTCCATGCTGCTGCAGATCTTGCAGATGGTCGCCGCGGCAGCCTGCTGAGCACCCACGGAACCGTCACGGAGCACGTGGACGAGGCGCGGGAGCACGCAAAGCGACACCAGGCTGTCTGGTGAGACAGCGGTGACCAGGTTCCGGAGCGCGGCCACGGGTGACTCCTGAGGAAGTGGACCGTCGAGGTAGGCGAGCAGGCTCCGGAGTCCGCCCTCGGACACGACGGCACGCCGCAGGCTGTCGTTGCTTGACGTAAGGTTCTGCAGGCACTCCGCGGCGTACTCCTTGGAGCCGAGAACGACGCCGGAGTCGAGCAGGTTGATCATGACTCGCACGACGCCTTCCTCGGCCAGCGCTTGCCGGACCTCCGGCACTGCAGAGATGTTCTTGAGCGCTCCTGCCGCGGCGGACTGTGTGATTGAGTCCCCGGTCTGGCACATGTCGATGAGAGCGCGGACGCCGCTGTGGCCGACGATTGCACGTGCAATGTCGGCCGACATGGAGAGCCGCTGGAGCGTGATGACAGCCTTCTCCCGCCCAACAAGGCTGCCGGACTCAGCCAGCCGGATGAACGGCGGCAGAGCGCCTTCTGACATGAGTAACCCCTCGCAGCTGCCAGACTCGGCGAGGAGGCACAAAACAGTGGCCGCCTTCTCCCTAACCTTGGGTGCTGTCGCCGTGAGCAGCTGCACCAGCGCGGCCACGTTGCCACGGCCGAGCGCCGACAGCACACTCTTCTCGTCCTCGCGCAGAGCATCGAGCAGGCCATCCACGGCCCGGTGCTTCGCCTCTGCGTGCCCAATCTGCAGCCTGGCAAGCAGCTCCCGCACGTCCGTCTGTGCGCCCGCAGCCGACGCTATCTCAGCTAGGGCCGCCGGAACCGTCGCATCAGACAGCACACCAGTCTTGACAAGAAGAGAGCAGTCCCTGAGGTTGAGGTCCAGCTTCCCGGCCAGCGCGTCGAGGTCGCTCTGCATCTGCAGCTTCCCTGCCTTCGGAGGCTCGTGGCAGCGCGCACCGAGCTCGGCGGCCTCCGCTAGCGTTGCAGCCACCGACTGCAGCAGCTCCCGACAGAGCGAGTTCTTGGAGAAGCAGGGGTGGCTGGACAGGTCCGACAGGCACGGTGGCACCCTCTCCAGCCTAGCTGCGATAGCCTTCCACCGCCCACCGAAGCCAGTCGCCGCGCGCGCAGCGGCCAGGGCGGGTGGCACCAGCCCCCGCGCCCGTTCAAGCAGCTCCTCTGCCGTCGCGTCCCCGGCCGCAGCCGGGCAGCTCCCCAAGCTCATTTCTTGGCAGCTACAACAGCGCAGCTCGTGACCTGCAGTTACTCACACCAGACAGCCAGATTTTAGTAGTGCTCACCACTCCTACTCAGAATCAGAACTCGCTCCCCGGCACCGAAGCAGAAAAGACAAATCTTGAAAAAGGAGCAAGAATAGAAGAAGCTGGAAGGAGACAGGGAAAGAAAGCGTCGGCTATTTTAAGTGAATCAAAATTCATCTAGGAGACTAAAGCTCCAGAAATCCATAAGCCCCACGGAGCTACACTGTCCCCCTATGATCTTTTCTTGCTTTGGCTGGACGACTGGTACGTCGAATTGAGAGGCGTAAATGCGGTGACCACAGACACGAAATTATGAGCTGGTACGAAGGCGCTATCAAAATTTCCAAGCTTTTCACACTGCTTTCCTAATGAAGAGCCTGGTCATTTCAAAAATTGACAGGAGAGAACGGTGGCTGGGTATGGGTTGGTGACGAGTCAATGCGAGCACACAAAAAGAACTTTGTTTTTTTTTATAAAAAATATCCATTTGCTGTTCTTTTGAGCGTGAGAGAACTTTTGCACTACAGCACTAGGTGAAGCCAATAAAACTTGATCATCAGACGGTGGTGTTATGGTGGGTTCCACTTCCACCTGACAAGAGCGTGTGATTAAAAGCCAAAGGCGTGTGCTTAAGACTGACCCCCACTTTGGAAGAGTAAGATTAGCATGCTGATGTTTTTTTTCCACATTACTTTCTTGTAGTATGATACTATAATCCAATCCAAAGATCTCGCACTTTCGAATCATGGCGAAATAATTGCGTGGGGAACGTATCGTAAAAGAACCGGGTCCTCTGAAAAGATGACCGCAAAATCCCTCGGATGCTTCCCATTAAGGGTTCGTTCGGTTACGGCTTTAGGAGGCCAGGAATCAATCCGGTAGTGAAAGCTTACATAAATTAAAGTAACAATCCGGCCAGGATTTCTTCTCAGGACGCCTAAGCTTGCCATGAGCCATGACTGACCTACCACGCATGCATGTAATGGAGGATCCAAAGAAATGCTTTCGCCGGAGGTTAAAAATAACAGTAGCAATGGGCTTATGTTAATTGACACACAAACACGCACAAAAAGCTAGCGAAGCACCCACAAATAGCCTAGCAGTACGGAAAAACGTGCGGGCCCACCTGTCACTGGCTGTGGCACAACCACCGAACCACGCGTGCGAGCTGCGACCTGTGCCACACGTACCCTTTTTCGTATATAGCAACCAACCACTTTTTCTCGCACGAATTAAAAGGCCGTGTGGGCTCGTGGCGACTGGTGTGGTGGGTGCGGCCATGCATGCGGCACACGAAATCGGGCCCGCGGCGGGATCGGGGAATCCAACGCAGCTAGCCGAGCAAGCCCGGAGCACAGCGTCTCGGCCTGCCTCTCGGGACGCTCCCGGTCCCGAAGGCGCGTTCACTCGAGTCCAGTGCGGCGGGCCCGGTTTCCTTCAGCTCAGGTACCACGCGCCCGCCGCTCATTTGGTGGGCCATGTTGCAGGGGCAGTTGGGTCATTTGACAGCTAGTGCCGTGCGGACGCCAGCGTCGGCGCGACGGCGCCGGCAGAGACGAGGGTTCCTAGCCTATTACTGTGCGTTGCAAAAAGGACCCAAGAGTTTTTTTTTATTATTTTCAGATGAAGAGTAACAGTAATAGCGTTTGCTTAAATTACAATGTCTACACTCTATAGTAGGAACAAAGCACTCTTAGTTCTCTCGACTCGACCGGTCTCTCCCAACTCCCCCAAGCAAACGATGACCCGTCGTGATTGTTAGAAAATTCGAGACACTTATTATCGCAGAGATCATGGCTTGCATGGTGGAGAAAGCACGGCCGAATGCAGCCAGGAGCGGAGCAGGAAGAGCGAACGCTTGGCTTCGAAGTTTGAAGGCCACTCTCCCAGCAATAGAGAAAAGCGCGATCGAGAACTTCGAGCGAAAAATGGAGATCAGAAAACAGAGGCGTGTCCTGCGGTTATTACCTCTCTCACCGACGCCGCTTTCGCTCCAGCCGGTCGCGTCGCCGTCCGCCACCTCTCCTCCTCGTCCGCCGCCACTCCCCGTCGTCCTCCACCTCCTCCTCCCGGCGCCGCCGATCGCCGCGGCGCAGAGTCCAACCAGAGCTAGAGCCGCTGCAATCAGGACGCCAATCATGAATCAAACGACAACCATCCTGGGAACGCCGCTGCGCGGGGGTGGGCGCTGTTGCTCCTACTCGAGCACCGCGTGATTGTGAGGGAGGGAGGGAGGGGGAGAGGATCGGGGAATCATTTCATGAGCGCACTCACCGCGAGCAGGAGCACCACCGCCTCTTGTAGCCGCCCCGCCCCGACAAAGCTCCTCCTTCTCTGGCGTCGCGTCGTTTAGTTTCCCACCGAGCGAGTCGTTGGGGGATTTATTCCGGTGGACTGGGGACAGGACGGCCGCTGCTTCGAAACGAGGTTTTGAATTCGGGAGCGAGGCCAGCCGTCGGATCGGGGCGTGGGGCCCGGTGGACGGGCGCTGGGATCGGCGGGTTCCGTGGCTGCGGGGATCCGACCGTTTGAGGCTGCTGCTGCAGCGGACTGCGGGGGCTGGGCACGCACCACGCCACGTCCGCACGGGAGGATTTTGAAATGGCTGGGGGTGCGGTGCGTTGCGACATGTACTTGGTGCGTCTCTGGCTCGCTGCCACAGGGCTACTCTCGGCGACCTTTTACGGCTTTTCGCTGACATTCACTGCAGCGGCAAAGAGATGGACAGAGCAGGATAGGATTTTTTTTGAATCCTTCCTAGGCCCAGTTTAGTTCACAAATTGTTTTTTTTTGGCCAAAAACAAATTTTTTGCCGTTTTGGCATTTGGGACTAAACAGGTCCAAAAAATTTTGGGTCAAAAAATTTTGCGAATTCGGCCTGCTATGGCCTTGGCCTGCGTGCCCAACCCTATCCCTCCGTCCCGTAGCCGACGCTGAACCCTATCCGTTCAGCTTGCTCGCCCAACCCTATCCGCGCCTCTCTCGCCGTCTCCATCGCAACGCCGCCGCTCTCGTCCTCGCCATCCCAGCGCCGCCGCACTCGCTCCATTCCACCGCCGGCATTCAGATCCACCGCCTCCACCTGTATATCTACCCAGCCGTCGTCCAGATCGACAAGTTCCTTTGCACGGATTCGATGGCAGGACATGGCGACGACTTCAATGGCGAGCCCGCCGCATACGGGGAAGCCGACGCCGGCTTTACCCTGGATTTCTTGGGTAATGTCGGAGCGAGCCTCGTCTACAACGACGCTCCGGGTTCCAGCACGTTACACGCCGCCGTCGGGTCCAGCAGCCACCAGAACCCCAACGAGCAGATGGGACGGCTTGACCTAAACGACGGCCTCTCCGGCGTTTACCAGCAGTACGCGGACCACATTCAAGGAGCCCAGGACGTCTTGCCTCCCGTTCGCGTTCCGAGGGACGGCGTGTCTCGGAGCCTCAGTTTCCGGCCGCCTAGCCACGTCGGAGTAGGTGGAGCTGCAGAAGGTGCTGCCTTCGACGGTCCGTCCGCATCCGTCGGAGGTGGCTTCGTCTCTCTGTCGGCGAGGCGGCTGCCTGCGTGCACGGGGGCTGGGGCCAGCCATCCACAACGACAATTTCGACGGCTCCTACGCTGTCCCTAACCCGGCAAGCACCTTCTCTGATGCATGTCTATTGTTCAAGCACGATGATGTATGTTGATGTGTTACAAGCTTAGTTAGATGCATGTATATTGTTCATGTATGCTGATGTGTTATAAGCTCAGTTTTTGAATTGTTCTTGTATGCTTGTTAGTGTTAGTTGCATGTGTATTGTTCAAGTATGTTCATGTATGTTGATCTGTTAGAAGCTCAGTTTATGAATTGTTCTTGTATGCTTGTTAGTGTTAGCTGCATGTCTATTGTTAAAGCTTGTCAGTGTTTATTGTTCAATATTGCTGTCCCTCTTCACCGTTTAGGTTTAGAAGCATAAAGCAAATTAGTTACCAGACAACATAGAGAAGTTATGTGACTCCTACCTTGCCGAGATACATGCTGGGAACTGTCCAGGAGGACAAATGAACAAATTTGGGTGGAAGAACGTCGCTCGGAGGTACTATTTAGCATCAGGCTTGATGCATGACAGAGAACAGCTTCAAGGCAAGCTGAGGACACTCAGAAAAATATAGACATTGTGTGACAAAGCACAAAACCACATTGGCTTAGGTATAGATGTAGATGGAAAGATTCATGCTTCTGACCAATGGTGGAATGACAATGCTCAGGTAATTTGTTATATAGGGTGCTCTGTTATTAACAAATGTTAATTCCCTAATTGCTTGACAACTACATCGGTCTATATTGTACAGGGTGACAATGATTTGCTGAAGATTAGAAGGGATGGTGTGCCTGCATACTTGGACCAGTTGCATGGCATGTTCAAAGGAAACACAGTTGATGGGACAACCTCCTTTGTTCCTGCTGCAAGAGAGACCATTGACTTGAATGATGATGATTCTGATGAAGAAGCAGGACAAGAGCAGGAGGATGAACTGACCCCTATGAGTGTTGGAAACACGAGGACCAGCAGTACAAGCACAAGTGCATCCAGCCCCAGCAAGAGGTCAAAGAGCCCAGCAGTGAGGGCAATGACCATCCAAATGACCACACACAATGACTTAAGCAGAGAGAGGCTACAATTCTTCAAGGAGAGAGAGAGCAGAAGGGAGGAAGTGCTGCAGAGATTAGTTAAGGACAAGTCATGGAAAATAACAGAGTGCACCAGGATAGCTCTACAAGAGCTGGGCATCAGTACTACAACGAAGACTTTGTTCTCTGGGTTGCACAAGCTAGTGTAATCAGAAACTGAAATGGACTTCTTCCTTGCCCAGGACACTAAGGAAGGGAAGATGCACGTCATCGAGCTGAATATCCCGCAGACTGGCCCGGTGGACAACTAGAAAACTTAGCCTTATTTGCATGTAGGGCATTTGGTGCAGGGCA